AAAAAAAAAAATGATCAAAATCGTCCAAGAATTAGCTAAATTTTGTACCATTATTCTTCGATTCTTGGGCTTGATTTCGCGAACGCCGGATTCTTGATTGTCGATCGCCATTGATAATAATGTAATTTTAACTGAAGAAATTGTGAGTGGCGAAAGAACACAAATGGGGAAGAAAAAGGAGAAGGAAGAGAGCAAGTGGAGGCGGTGAGAGGGAGAGCAGAAGAAAATGGGGTTACATTACATTACTTGTAGGTGGTGGCGGGGTTTTGTTCTTATCCTTTAAAAAAAGTCATACATGTACGAAAAAGCTCCGAGCCTAGCTCCGAACCTAGCTCCGAGCCTGAACCTGAAGATACGTTGGGCGCAAGGAACCGACCTCCTTCTTTCCTCTCCTCGCCTTTTATTTATTTATTTATTTATTTATTTATAATATAGTTTCTTTAGTTGCCTTTCGTTTTCATGTGTTACATATTCTTGGCTTTGGTCTTATCGCACTATGCCCACACAACCTAATATTATTATTTTCGTAATATGACTAAGAATGATATTTTATTTTACTTTACTTTATTTTATTTTTATTTAATGGTTGATATGACATTCTGATCACCTATTATTAATAATCGAATTTGGGTGATGACATTACAATTAACCGACTATTTAATTTCCCCATTGTGAAATTATTGAGTTTGGAATTTTTTTGTTAGGGAAAAAAAAGGGTTGGCGCATTATTCTGCTTCCGTTCATTATTGGCTTTGCGTTTTTGTGATGTGCGTGGGAGCAATAGTGTCCGTCCGTTTTGTTATGTATTATTTACTAGTACAACGCTCGTGTATTACACGGGTGCTTGATAATTTTTTCTTAAAATCTAGAATTAATGAAAAAAGTAGTTAGAATTTTAAATACCTTTTACAAAATTATATATTATTATATATTATATATGACATTTTTATTTGTGTGACCTACATATTATAATAATTTTTTTAACTTACAACATATAACTACATTAAATATAAATATATCAATTAAGAAATAATTTTATTTTTCTAATGAATTTTAATAAATATTATTATTTTTTATTACTATAAAGATAAATATAATTTATTTATTTCATATATATAATATAGATGTCAAATCGAAGATCATTAAAAAAATGATTAATTTGATATATTATATATGTAAAACCGATAAGAAATACAAAAGTTATCAACATTTAAAATTCATTTACAATTCAATAATTAATTGAAGGAAACAAATCAAAAGTCAGAGATATATTAGTCACTTAGTGTTTGGCTATGTAAAATTACAAAGAATTAAAGGGTTGTATTAGTAAAGGGATATTAAAATACCTAAGTTAACTAAATATTATTTATAGAATGTCCAAACCTAAATATTAATTATCAATATATCAATATTACTAGTACGTAACCCGTGCTATGCACGGGCTGTATTTACTTCGGAGAATATTAAAAATTAAAATGTATTAATAAATAAAAGACTGATAATTCGTAGGAAAATTATCAAAACATAAACTGTTCCTCATGCAAAAAAATATATTATTTAAATTTTCTTGTACACAACATTATTTATTCAATAACTGAGCAACTCGTCGTCCCCACATACTAATATTTTTAACACTTTTCCATTACTTACACGGGAAACAAACAACATAATTGTCAGTGACTAAAAATCGATTTCTTTAAGAACATGACAACGTACAATAAATGTTGACCTTAACTCTTCTTGATTTATTACTTAACATGCCAACGTACAATAAATGTTGACCTTGACTCTTCTTGACCTATTACTTACACGCGTAACAACATACAATTGGTCGTGATCAAAAAAAGTTTTTTTTTAAGAACATGCCAATGCATATCTCTTATCTATTACTTACACGTAAAAACAACAACATATAATCGGTCGTTACTAAGAACCAATTTTTTTAATAATATGTCAACGTACATAAAGACTGACACTGATTTTAAATGAAACCCTAAGGTTAGAAGTAGCTGGTGATAGAACTTAAATAAATCCTAAGGTGTATATTTTTATAATATGATAACTTACTGAGGCAGTCAGGCAGTGAGTTGTTAGTTTAATATCTATTATACTTGATTAGCTATATAATATTCACTAAAATTTCTATATTTCTTATACAAAAAGACTGACGATGACTGTTAAATGGAACCCCAAAATCAAAATGAACTGGTGCCGCTAGAACTTAAATGGAAGTCTAAGGTGGATCTATTTATAATATGATAATATATACAACAATTGGACAAATGAATTGGTGTATATCTACAAAAATATGTATGAATAATACAAAACATTAGATATTACATCACGCTAATTTAATGAGAGAGATTATATATATTAGATATAAAATATAAAACATTAGTGATTAGACATTACTTTAGGCTAATTTTTCAAGCCAAACAATTTTTAATTGAATGTGTGACAACTTGTTATATTTTTTCAAACTGAACAATTTTTAATTGGACAACTTTCTTAATATATGTGTGACAACTTTTTAGATACTAAATATATATATATATATATATATATATATATATATATATATTGAAATAAATTTATATTTTGTGTATACAAAAACAAAAAATTGATTTACTATACAAAATTTTAAAAATTTTCCTTTGAAAAACAATTGACAAAAAGAATACCAATAAATAGAATTGGTGTATATCTCAAAAAAAATGTATATATCTCATATAAAATTGTTCATTCTCAAAATCTGCTATAATGAAAAATATATTTAAGTATTAATATAAATATATTTACATATTAATATAAATTTATGTTTTGTAATTGTTGGTTCTAATAAATATGATAAAATAAAAAAGAATCCTCACAAATGAGAATTCCAAAATTGACGCCATGTAAATTTAAATATTACTATATCCTATTTTTTTTTTTGTGTACTATGTAGCATATATGCTAATCCAAATCAATGATTCTAGAAAATTTGTTAAAATAAAAAAGAATCCGTGATAAATAAGAGTTTGAAAATCGGCTACATATAATATTTACATAATCTTTGCCTACAAAGCCACTATCAACGTAATTAAAGAAAACCAAGAATTTACTAAAACAAACACAAACCGAGAATCGAGGAATATGAAAATTATGCATTTAATGATTTATTTTTTATTTAGATCATTTTATATTATTTTCATCTATAGTAGGTAATTAATGTTTTGGGCGGAAAATGCTTATAAAATGTTCGGGTATGAGAAAATCATATGTTATTAAAAACCTAACTGTAAATAACATTATTAGTTTGATTATTGGGCACACTACAATAAAATGATAAAATTCCAATGGAAATCTATTCCAAAAGATATTATTCCAACGAAAATTCCAAAAGATATTTCAATTCTATTATTTCCGTTACAAATTTTCAATGGATTCCAAAGGAAATTCCAACAAAAATATTATTTCCGTTGGATTTTGACAATTCCAACGGTGGATTTTTCAACGGGGTGGAAATATAAATTCCAACGGAATTTGCATATTCCAACGGAAATTCCTACGATAAAAAAACCTTTGGAAATATAGCAGTTGAAATCATCAAATTTCTAAGAGTGACACTCACTCTTGTTTATCGCCATGACAATATATAGAGATGTCAAAACGGGCTGGTGGGGCGGGCCAGCCCGCAGCCCGCCAAAACCCGCCATTTGGCGGGGCGGGGCGGGCTGCAAAATGGCCAGTCCGGCCCACCCCCGCCATGGGCCGCGGGCTCGGCGGGCTGGCCCGCCCATTTACAAAAAAAAAAATAAAAAAAAAAAATTAATTTTTGTTTCATTAAATTAATTTTCCGCCTTTAGCTTTATTGCTCTGAGTCTGAGTTTACAAATAATAAGCCCCGTTTCTTTTCTCTGTTGCTATTTTTTGTTTATTTGTTCCATTTGTTTTGTACTTTTGTTATTTACTTAGTTGCTATCCTTTTTTTTAAAAAAAAAAAATTGTGACTTAAATGGAAAAAAATACATTGACATTAACATTGATACATAATATATCATAAATTCATAATTACAATTTACATACATTTAATTTTTTATTTTTTTTTTCTGTTAAGGCGGATCAGCCTGCGGCCCGCCAAGCCCGCCCCGCCAAAGCCCGCGGCCCGCGCCGGCTGGCCCGTTTAGTAGCGGGCCTCTAATATCCCAGCCCAACACACACTCGAGGCGGAGCGGGGCGGGCTGGCCCGCGGGCCCAGGCCCGTTTTGACATCTCTAACAATATAAATGAATGTTTATTTAAAAAACTTAATATTTGAAATGTAGTGATCGTGTGTTATTTTTTAATTTCGTGATCGATGGACTCTTTTATTAGTTAGTTGGTTTGAATCAATATATAACAAATTTTGTTGCCAATCGTTATTAGAGTTTTTTAATTAATTTGTGTAAATACATAAATAAAAAGAGATCTAAACTATGAAATTTTTTCAGCTTTTGAAATCTAATAAATGACAAACACTATCTTTTAAAATAAATAATGATAATGATTATAAATTGTATTATCAAAAACGATAAGGTATATAAATTCGTTTTCCTTTTCAAATCGATAATGAAGAAAAAAGTCTAATTGGGGAAAAGATGATATATACAAATCATGATTTTAGAAATCTGATATATACAAATCTTAGCATGCGGTTTCAAACAATTTAATAATATAATAATAGGCTGAATGAATTATGATTCAGATTCATGCAGAAAAAATTTTGAACAGATTTCTAAAATCATGATATATACAAATCATGATTTTCCTTGGAGATTTATCGGATTTTCAAATTGTTTGGAAATCACGATTTTTAAAATTATGATTTATTCGGATTTACATTCGGATTTCCAAATTGTTTGGAAAAATAGGAGATTTAATCGGATTTTGATTCCTTATTGGTTACTAATATAAAAGTATTTGATATTATTAATAAAAAAAGGGAAAAAGTTGATTTACTATTTTTAGGAGATAATTAATGAAAGTGGCGAGAAATTATTTCTAAATTTGATTTATGTTAATCCTCATTATATAGGATTAACATATATGTTACTTTCACGTAAATACAAATATATATATATATATATATA